CAAAGACCACTTAGGCTCAGAGGTAAAATACGGTTGAGCGGACTCATAAATCCCCAAATAAGGCGTTATACTATATCTCGGCCGGGCATTTCTCTCGTAGAATGGAGAGCGCAACGCGACTTGGGAGAAGTATCGGGACGAAGTGAGGCCACTTAATGAACCACTGCGGACAGGTTCGGTGGCAAAGACAAACCGATTCCCGTTCCCTCTCTCCGCTCTTATGCATCTACGCCATTACTCTCGACCCTCCCCGTAACCTCTTCCATTTCATTTTTACCAAGCCCTCGGTTTGTACAGCCACTTCGCTCAGTTCCTATACCCGCGACCAAATCTCTTCTTAAATGCCCAAAAAGTAAGAGAAATGGCGCGATCTTTTCAGATGCATTCCGGAAGACCGCACAAGAGTCTCTACTAAATGGCCGTACCGAGAATTTCCTTTTCCCCTAGTTCGAGTCTGTATGTTTCTTACGTATTATTTTTTACTTTACACCGTATTTTTTCTTACACGCATAAATTCCACAAGTCGGCGTCACGAGGGCCTCATGACCTCAAACACGAGTTAACCAAAAATCGAGGGAGGAAGTCTCGAGCCGGAGGTGGGAAAAAGTGGACGGCGAGACAGAGGAAGAGAAAGAGAAGCGAGTCACTCGAGGACGTCGCCGGAATCGTCGTTCTTGCGGTTTCCGCCCGGCGGCGAGCACAAGGGGGGCGATTGCATTTGCCGGGGAAGAAAAAGTGCACGGAAGTGCAGAGATAGGACGGAGGAGTCGCGGCGTCGCCCAGGCCGAGGACGGCCTTATTTATAAAGAGGGCAGCGGTCTCCGAGGCCCCTTAAGGTCCCAGGAATCGAAAGGAAATCTCTGGGTTCTAGTGCAGCCACGAAACCGTGAATGCACCCTCTCGGCCGCATTCTTCGGAAGGGATTCCTGGTGTTTTCCGGGGGCGCGGAATTCGATTCCTCCGCGAGGTCGCGATTCGCGGCACACAAAAGCCATTGACGGAGAGACGTGGACGGATCGCCCGGGCGCCGTTCCGCAAACCGAGCGGATGCGGCTGCTTACTCTTACAGACGGATCCGGCGCTGCGGAATTCGATTCCGCCCTGCAATGCCGAATCTTCCGATACGGATCGCGGAATTCCGCCTGTGATTTATTTACCTTGGATGAGTGTCCAATGAAGGAACTCGAATACCAGAAGACCGCGCGAAGACAATATTTCGGACCGCGCGGAACGACCGCGCCAGGTTCCCTTCCTCGGGCACGACCTCATTGAAAATGCAGATGCACTCGCACCGCAATATGCCGCGCGAGATCCATTACTCCGGATTGCGATTCCCAATCCACCCTGGAATCGCCCGACGCCCAAAGTACGCGAAATCGATCGGCCGGAATCTCCTCTTCGAGGTCCCCAAGAAGCTGCACGCACTCGGCCGTGAGTGCACCGCCGTATGCAAATTATGTATCGTCTACTCGAAGTGGAGCCGCCAACAGGGCTGGAGAGGCAAGATGCTCTATATTAATGCACGGGGTCTTGGGCGCGATCGACCCCGCTGATTGAAAAGGACCAAGGATAGTTTTCGACAATTGGAAGAGACCGCGGTGGTCCGCCATCGACCGCTGGGCAGCCTTCGCTAATGGCAAGGAAATCTGAATGGCGTTCCCGCATTGATGTCGAGGAGAATTTCCGTTGCGACGGGAAGATTGGAGGTTATTCCAGGATCCTTCGGAAAGCCGGGGCAGGATCTCTTAGCGAGGGGGTGGATTATTCACTCAGGGGGAGCGAAATACAGAGACGCCATCTCTGCACTGGTGGATATAGAAATTAATAAAAAAATCTATAGATCTATCACCTCCCTGAAACCAAGTACACGTGGCGAGTCTCTAAGTCTCTAAGCATTAATGATATCTTTATTAACTGTAATGTATTCATTTCCCTTAATTTCACACACCCATAGCACGATGTTATGAAATCATAAATAATATAAACGAAAGCTTATAGAATTCTATGATAATCGCGTATCACATTTAAGACCCCCGATTTCTTTATGTTACTACAAGGTTATGGATTAAAAATCAGGAATTTTAAAGAATTCCCTTGTAACTCGCATTCGGTGCCGAAATCTCGACTTCCAGTAAGAGCACTTCGAGTTGACTCGGACGTATGCTCGACTCGAGTTTACCGACTTAAAATCCGGCTCGTCGACCATGAAATATTCAATAAACAATCGCATCGCATGGTATCGTACGAGACCTTTAATCCATTCGGCCAGGAATCGGACAAAGTCCCAGTGGCACGGAGATCTCGAGGAGAACGCTCAAGGAGTGCGCTCTCGAAAAGAGTCCTCCTCGTTGCACCGCGGAGGGCAGGGTCGGGGCTTAGCCCGATCCTCCAGAGACTCGAGATCGGATCTTTGAAGGCATAAAAGCTACGTCATTCATTTAAGGGATTAAAATCCGACCTCTCCATTTCCCCGTCCCTCTCTCAGAGGTCGCTCCGTCTCGCTCGCGGCTCTCACTTACTTAACGGAAGGGCCCCTATTTTCTTTCCTCGTCCCACCCGCGGACTCGCAACCGCCCTCTCTCACGCTCTCTCCCTCTGTGTTCTCCAGAGAGGGAGAGAGAGAGAGGCCGCGACCAGCAATCAGCGTAATGCACCCGCAGACACACCCCTTGGCCCGCTGCACACTGCAAACGCCTCGAGGGGTGGGTACATACCCTCCGGGCCGAAAGCCCTGATAACACCGGCTTGCTTCCGAGTAATGCAGACGCAATGGCAATCTCCTGCCGAGTAAATACGGATCGACGACATAAATAACGCTGCCCTATCGATCGCGATAATCCTCCGACCTCCTGCCGCGAGGTCGATCCCGAAAGACGGGCCTCAGTTTTTAAGGGGATTTCCTGGCCGAGGGGGAGACTCTCGGATCCACCCCCGTAATCGCGCCGAGACGAAGAACCGAGGAAATTGGATTTTTCCCTCGGACTTTGGGTGCAACTCAAAACCGAGATATATAGGAAAAGGGGCACGAGACTCTGAAAAAGAGGTAAACTTTTTAGCGCGGGAGGATAGACGTATTATTACCTCGATAATGACACGTGTTAACGGATAATTGATAAGTCAAAATATTGCTTGAATTTGGACGCGTCCGTGCTTCGCGTTTTAACAATAAAATTATAAGTTCTGGATATGATCGTCGATTTTTCTGACGATTCCATTAATGTGTACACTTTGAGATATTAAAAGGCATTTAAAGATCAAAATGTGTGCTTCGAGAAGACTCTTCTTGGATAAGGGGTTTGAGGTGGGTGGAAATATTTACGGCGATTGTATCTTTCCCCCACTGTCTTTGCCGGGCCCTATAAGAGGGTGGACACGCACCCCTGGGCTGGTCAGCAACCCTGACCATTCTGAAGCGTATCTGAGCGTATGTTGGCTCGTTCGCTTTGAACCAGACGTGATTGGCCAGTCCATGCAGAGTAGGCTGAATTGGACACTGGCCGGATTAATCGATTGCTAATCCAACGTGTGTTCCCTCTTGATATTCTGTCCCACCGGCAGAAACGAATTAAGGGCTCGGATTTGCACGTAACCCAGAGTGCCTTCCTGGGTAGGCAATTCGCTTACGTGAGGCGACATCTCGAAGCCCCTGTTTCCTGACACCAGATTTTGGATGGGGAACATCAGGGAAGATTTTCCTAAAGAGAAGAAAAAAAAAAAGGAACGCGAGAAACCCTCTGAATAATGTCGATTTAGGATTACGAGGGACTGGCAATTCGGTTTTCAACCGGGAACCATGGCTGCAGCGATCCGTACTCTCATCGGAAATGATGACGACGTGTGACGAATATTAAATCGGCTATTTCTGCGACAGTAGCTTCGAAATCCCCGAGGAGCTCGAACGGCATCCCTCGGAATGCCGATAGGCACGGAAGGGGATGCGATGGGGCGAAACTCGGCAAGCGAAGCATTTTTCCACCGGAAATGTTTTTACGTGCCGTACATGAAAAAATTCCACGGATGAATCGGTAAGATATTTTAGATTAGTCTCAACGGTCGATTAAAAATTTAAGGAGGGTCCAAATGTTGCCCGGGCGTTTGTGGCTGATTTTGAATATACTTGATACCCGTCTCTGATGAGAGAAACCGATCGAATCGGAGACGTGGAACGCTGCACGCGAACATTTGAATTAGGAATTGCATTAGGTCCTGTGCACGGATCCGTAGTCTGACGGAAATGATAGCATCGCGAGGAGCATAGTAATTTGAGCACTCCGAGGCAACGGCCTTAAAATGCCGAGAGGATTCGGGGGAAATCTCCGGGGACGTCCCCTGGCACGAAGCACGCGAATCTGTCGTCGTGCTCTCCTTTAGCGGGAATTCCGAGTGTTTTCCGCGTCCCGATTCTATTGGAAGTTCAAAATTCGATTCCCAGATAAGGCCGTGATTTTTGCGAACAAAACTCGCCGCTGGCGAAAATGCGTTCCCTAACCCCACGGGGGACGTAGAGAGATTTAATATACGAATTCCAATATACACCCCAAATTCGGTTTATGGAAGGCATCGAGTCGAGGATTGCTCGGCTGGAAAAGTATGGTTCGTGCTTCCTCTTGCGAAATTACGCGAAATTTCGCGTGATTACTGGAATTTATTAAGGGATTTACCGAGGAGATTCGGAAGCGCGAAAGAGTTTTTCCGCACCCCTAGGCGTCCCCAAATAATTGATTACCGCTTTTGAGAGGATTTCTTCGTTTACAGGATTCAGTTAACCGCGTTAATACCAACGTATTTCAATCCGCGAGATTACACGCGAATAATCCCCGGTGGCCAGCGCGTATTTCCGGGCACGTCGAAGGGCTTCCGTGACGAGTCGATTCCGGAACCGTTCCAGGTCGATTTGGAGCGCTCAGAGTTTCCATAAATCTGTCCCGGCAAATTGAACGTCGGCTTTTTGCCCTGTACAATTCCGCGAATAAAGATTAACGCTCCGTTGGTTCTTCCAGCCGATCGGTATGCACCTGAAGAAGTACGAGTGGGTGGGCTCGCCAGACCTGGGGGACTGTTCGCTCTGGGTGAGGTCGGCCACCCTGGAGTTCGACGACGGATCCTGGCAGTGTCAGGTCACTGCCAGCGACTTCACTGCCCAGGACGCCCTCGCCTCCCCACCTTCTCGACTGGTCGTCAGAGGTAACCTCGCGAACTTTCACCGCCGGTGAATTTTTTTTATTTACTCTATAAAAAGTATCTCAAGAGTGACGTGAAAAGCTCGAAATCCACGGTAAAAAATTCTTCTACCTGGTGTACCATCTGATGTAATCTCTGGTTTCCACCCATATTTTTATAAATAATTCTACGAAAATTTCGCATCACCCTAAACGAGGTAAACTCGGTAGTCCTGTTCCACGTTTAGGGTTAAAAAATGCATTTTAACGCTAAACATGAGGCATATGGTTGTTTCACGAGTTCATACGTGGATAAATTTTTGTGAAGATTCGGAGATTTATATTTCGTAACAAAAGGAACCGCGTATTAATTAATTACTCTCTGGAATCGTTGATCACTTCTCGGCATATTTCTGGTAGTTTTATCGAAACGTGCAGTTTACAAGGAGAATTCGCTGCAGAAGCGTCGTCCGAATTTCTTGAACAACCCCATACAAGTTTTCGGTAATTAATTAGTTTTTATCGGAGTCCACGTAACGAGCGCCCGGGCAATTCGATTACGGTCAAAGGGTTGCATCCCCCGGTCGGTATAAGAGGTCGAGAAATCTGTTTCCGCCACCGCAAGGGGCGACCGTCGAAGTTCCTGACGGGATTACCCTTAGCTCCTTGACGAGTTAAAAGTAATCGAAGGGAGTGGTTCCGGGAGGAAAGTCCGAGAGCTTAGGGGGTCCTCTTTGTCGGAACGAAGTTTCCAATCCGTTCCGAGTCGGACCACTGACGTACTCCTAAATGTTATAGACGACGTCGACTTAGCCGGCTCTCCCTCTTTTTCATCCCTCTATATCCACTCTCCAGACAGTCCAGAGATAGATGGCTCGGGTTTCGGACCGCTCCGAAATTGCGGACTTTTTCGATAAATTCCGCTCCTCGGGCAAAGGGTCTCGGCGAGAAAGAAACGAGCGAAATAATGGACGAGTGATAATTCCTCCGTCCTCTCTCGAGGAAGAAAATCTTTCCGCTCCGATCGCGGCGGAGTTCGAAATCGACGGCGCGCCCCGAGAGGGCGTTTTTCACTCAGCGGGTCTTTTCGTTTCTTTTCGGCTCCCTTTCTCTCGCTCTTTCGAGTCATTGAATCACGGCCCGTCTTTGGCTCTCTGGACGAGTCCTTCGTGATCGGTGCCCCGGAAGAGGAGCCTACGTAGCAGGAAGTAATTCCGCTTTAAGCCGGAGAAGGAGGAATCTCGGGACGCGTCCTTAACGAGTCGTCCATGATCGATATCGACCGGGGTCCCGCGATTGAAAAACCGCGTCGAGCCAATCGCGGATCGGCATTTCTCGACGCGTAATCTTAATTGTCTAATTGCAGTAAGCCCTCAGCGGCCGCAGATTGAGTACGCGGGCGCTTTAATTCTGCCCGGCAGCAACGTGACAGCCCGAGCAGGTGAGATCGCTATGCTCACTTGCACGGCCCGCTACGGAAATCCTCCGCCCCTAATTAAATGGTTCGTAATGGTTACACGTGTAGAAACCATCCTAATTATTTAATAGCGTTTAACGTTACGCCGGGCGGCGTCTTCGAGGGCTGCGTCGCGGCGGCGCGTCGGCTCGATCGAACCGAAACCGAAAATTTACATTTTCGATGTTCCAATTAAAAACAGAAGACCACCGGAAACAATTAGTCAGCCAATGCTTGCGAGGTTGACGAATTCGTTCAATAAAGGACATTTCTCCCAACACCCCGGGCTATTTCCTACTATTCTTATGGTAATACCTGTTTCATTTATTTACGTTCGATCACACGGTACTTCAAAGGGCATGGTTAAACGCAACCTACAATTCACTTTACTGAAATACTCCGGTAATTCGCAACGATCTTGTATTTTTTTTTCTTCTTTCTTTTTTCCTTTTATAAAGACGTAGAATGCCTACATGTTCGTTATATTTCCCAGAACCGAGTCGAGGGGAGAAAACGAATAATTTCGAGAATTACGTTTCGTAATTACGTAAGTGCCTCCGTCCCTCAATTTACGGGGAGTATCCGTTCCCCGTGAATTTCATATAAAAACCGCGTAAATTGTGTTATCATTTACCGCGTAAAAAAAGTGCCGGGAAAAATTGAGGGAGGAGGGTAGTTTGATATCCTGTTTGGGGAATTTTCGTATATTTCATCCGACTATGCCCTTTGGAAATATCGCTTCCCTTTACCTCGCCTCTTTTCCAAGTCTCCTTCCCTTGGGTTGCTTCGGGGGTTCTCTGTATGCGAGTTTTTCTCGCTTTCGACAACCCTGGCCGTGATCTCTGGAATACGCGAGTGCTTTAAGGCGATTAGTGGGAGGACGCGAGTGCGCCTCGCCTCGGCTTCGGGTATTCGTTAGGAAAGTTCGGTCCGAAGCCCTCGTCGATTCCACGACGCGTAGCTCGTAACTCGCGAGGACGTAGTCGATGGCGGGACGTCGCCTATGAATAATCATGATCCATTGTGCGCGGTGTACCGACAAAGTTGCGGAGGGACGATCTGCTCGTCTTGCAACGAGAGCCCTCTCCCCTGGGCGCGGTGCACCGCGTGTTTGCATTTATACTCCAAGTTTGTTGTCGCAAGGCCGGTACGCCCCGCCCGAAAGAAACCACCCCTGGATCGGTACACAAGGGGAGCCTCGAGGGTGCGTATCCGTTTTCGAGAATTAAGATGAATTTCGAGAGGCCCCTCGACACGTAAAGAGCGCCTCGAAAGTGCGCCTCTGTTTTTTCATCTTTCCAAAATATCCCCTCGACCCTCCTCCCTCCACTCGTATCCATTGTTTGCATATTTTTATAATTAATAAAGCTAAACTACGCCGAATTACTTCTTGACATACGAGCCAGCTACCCTTGTATCAAGATTTAAACCACTCGATGTAGTCCAATGGTCACCGGCCGCCATGACAGTTTTCGCCCTCGAACACGCCGACGCTTTACGAGAAATATTAATTGCGAACCGAATCCACCGAAATTTACGAAATATTTCTCTATACGTATCGTGTTTAGGTCGGTTGAAAGGTGTAAGGTAAACTTGGGGAGGAGAAGAGTAATTCGCTTCGGTGGAAGAATTTCATAAGAGCGGGGGAAGTCGGTCGGTGTGGCTTTTAATACGAGGTTTATCGTGCCGCTGATGCAGCGGATGTTTCGCCGAGTTAGTTGAAGATGTTTGTTGCTATTGCGTTGCGAGAAGGCTCGCCAAGTTATCACTCGGCGAATAGTATCGGTTATCGCAACAGGTGTTAAGCTAATACAGCGAATGCCTCCCCAGGTTTGCTCCGAAATTGTTGCTTCCCTCCCGGAGGTGGCGCTTAAGCGTTTTGTTAACTCGGAGGACAATGAACACGTCACGCGGAGGAAGATGCGGAAGGCGCACTCGTGATCACTTTCCGCCGAGAAGAAAAGGGAAAAAGGAGGGGAAAAAAAGAAGAAAGACGCCGGACGAAGTGGGATGTGGGAGCGGACGCATTACCGTGATGAACCATCCACTCTCCAGACTCCCATTTCTTCGGACATTTCCTTCGAATTGCTCCGCGTAAATGCCTCAAAACCCCCTAGTAAAACTCCTCATTGAGTGTTTGTCCCGCTGGAGGGTACTCGAGGTGCGCACAATACCTCTGGGGTGGAAATTTAGAAAAAGAGCAAGGACCTGGTGTTAGTTTTGCCGCTGCCGCGCATTGTTTCACCACGGAGGAAATTTTAAAAGGATCAAACGAGCCGGCAAGAAACTGGGCTGGCTCCGCTGCTCGCGTTAGTTTTTATCGTTGTCCGACTTGCAAAGCAGGTTTCAATGCAAATCCCCTCCTCGGCTCTTGACAATTCTTCCACCGGATCGTATTCGCGGTGCACGATACTTCCGCGATAACAAAAAGGAAAGGGAAGGAAAGGAGCAATAACACGGTCTCGGTTTCCAGCGGGGCTTAATGCATATTCGTGGCTCTCCGTGCTCCGTGGAAATGTGTTCCGCGGCGTGCGGGGATTCCGCGGTGGTTGCGCGTTGCTAGACGTCCGGACGTGCCGAAGAAGCAACGGTCGTTGCTGTAGAGAGTTGCGAGGCGCGGGAATCGCGTTTCAACGCAGTTGTTATACAGCCATTGGAAATGCAAATTCGGATGCGCAGGTATTTGGGGGAAACGGAGCTGAGAACGCTGAGGCCTCAGGTAAACTCCACGGAGATAGATAATCCCCGCACTTGGTCCACGTACAGTGTTTGCCAGATTCTGGCCGAGCGATCACGCTACGGGCTGCCGATCCGATGTGTGGCCGTCCATCCTGCGTATACCAACCCGACCATGTCCTCCAGCACTGAGGTGCGATTCGACGTCCAATGTGAGTAGAAAATATATGCAAACAAGAAGGCAATTAGACGTAAGCTTCGAACGTTGACGAGATCGAGGTGGAGGGCGAACCCCGATCAGCTGACTCGCTCCGGCACTCTCGGGAAGGGTGTATGAATAAACAGTACTTACAGATCAAGATTGGAATTAGAGCCCGTGGTAAGCTAAAAGAGGATAATTATTTCACTCGAATAAGCTCGAATAAATTGTATGCAACGTTTCTTCGGAATTACGACACTTAATTTGATTTTGTTCGAGGAAAATAATTCTGTGAATTAATGAAATATATCTATGGTACTATTCAAAGGTATATTTCTTTGGTTCAATGAACTTTTTTTTCTCAGGGCAGTAGACGATATCTGCAATGGGGAAGGGAATTAGATCTAAGTCTTGATCGTTGAGGAGGTCGGGATCGAGAGCGGACCTCGATCAGCTGACTCGTCCCAATTCTCTAGAGACTTGTGTGCTAAAAGTACATATTGATCAAAATTAGAGTTAAAAGAGCAACCTGGCCAGGTTGGTCGGAGGAGTCGGCCCGGAATCGCGGGGGGTCAGCTTCGATCCAGCCCGGGCTTTTTGCACCTCTCGGGCCAAGCGGCGGTCAGGTGCGGCCGCGACGGGAACGTAGCGGAAACGGCGAACGGGCCAGCGGGCATCCGTTCGCGCGTATTCCGGAATCGTTGTTACGTGAAACGAACCGCCGTTACCCAGCCGACCGGAAATGGTGATTTCATTCCGCCTCTTCGATCGGCCTCGAGGAATGCGGTGGCCTGTTATCAGGGGAAGTAGCCGGTGGTAGTCGTCAGGTTTTTAATGTCGCCGTTTCCGCAGATGCACCGGAGACGAGGCTCGTAGGAGTGCCGTCTGGGCAGCTGGAAGAAGGACGAGACAATCTGAAGATCAAGTGCCTCGCGGATGCGAATCCTACGGCCACCGTTCTCTGGAAGCGATCTAAGGGCACGGGGGAAACGGAAGGAATCAGCCGCGACGAGAGCCTCGTCTTCTCGCCGATCTACAGGTAAAGATGAATCGATATCACCGAAGTATCCATACTTTTACTTATTACTTGCCTCGATAATAAGGAATCGATCAATTCTTAATATCGGATAATTTTAAGTAGATTACGAAATAACAATCGATAAAAAATACCTCCTCGTTATGTCCGTTTCATTTAATTTTACTTCGAATGGTATTTACTTGTATCTGTTCACCCCTGTTTACAGGAACCACGCCGGGACTTACATCTGCGAGGCCGGGAACTCGCAGGGCGAGAGCAGCCCCGTCTCCGTGCAGATTTCTGTTAACTGTAAGTACCGTGATCAACGTGATCGTCGATGGTTCGATTAATGATACCGACATTGTCCAGGGATATTAAAATGTGGCGACGCAATGATGAAATTCGTTAAATTATGTCGTTTCAGACCCTCCAAAAATCATCGCCGTGGGGCCGGATCGTCTGACCACTGCTTTACTGTATTCCGGGACATCCTTTGAGTGTCATGCCGACGCCATGCCCCCGGCCGAGTACAGGTATTCGACCTGACGAAATCCTCCCATTTAAAACAGAAAAAATAAGAGAGTCATCCCGAAGACAGTCCTCTGGAACGAATCCGCGGGTTCAGATCGAGCGCGTATTTGAGGGAAAATATTAGAATTGATTAATGGGAGTCCTAGTACTTAGGACGAAGAGCACTCAATTAAATAACTTTACCATATCCTCATAGTATTCAGAGAATAAAATACCCTTTTCACGTTCAGGTGGGCCAGAATCTTCCTTGATGGTCGCCCACCGGTGGAGTGCGGTTCCGGTCACCGACTTATCCTGACGAATGTCACCTACGAACAACAGGGGCAGTACATTTGCTTGGCATCCAATAAAATTAATGGAAATATTAGGGAAGTTAAGAGTGACTCTGTCTCCTTGCAAGTGGTTGGCGCTCCCAGAGTAAGTCCTGATATAAAAAAAAAACCCTCTTAATAGCGTAAATCGATGAGTGATAAACATGGGTAGTTCCTGTATCAGTTCGAAGATGCTCATTTGATCTCTCGTAAATTCAGTCTTGATTTGACTGACTAGGTTGACTATCCTGTAATGCTCCCGCGAGACGTAATACTCCCAGTGCAATTGCTGTAATCGATCGATAGTCGGGTGCATTGGAATTATTAGTACCCGCGTGATGCGGTTCGGCGGATACACCACTGTTAATTGATTATGTGACCCTCAGGTGGTGAAACCTGCGAGTACGGAGAGGTTTGTGGTGTCCACGACGGAAGGCAGCCCAGCTCGATTAGAAATCAGATTGTGCTCCGATCCGAAGCCTCACCTGGTCGCCTGGGAATGGGGCACCACTAGGTTGCACGCAGGTAAGACAATTTTTCGTCTCGTTCTTCCTATGTAAGTCGATGTCTATTTTAATCGTCAACGTCTCTGCATAGGCGAGGTTTTGGAGTCTCGTTACAGGGCCTTGGATTTGGAACCCCTGGACTCCGAGGACTGCTACGTGGCTATCCTGGAACTGACGACCACGGTTAAAGAAGACCAAAGATTATACAACGTCATCGTGGAGAACGATCGAGGAAGCGATCGCAGAGCTCTGATGCTGAGAGTCAACGAGCCGGGCCAGGTAATGTGTTTTCCAAGGGCCCGTTAATTATTTTACACAATTATCGAATTATCGTCTCCTGCGTCCATTTCTTTGGTTTTATGAGGCGCCTCAAAGTCTTACTTTTTTTATTTCCAGATTCCTTTAGTGATAGGAGCAGTTGCCGGCTTCACCGTGCTCACGATCCTCGTAATGGGATTTATTTGTTTCCTGCGATCGGACCGGTGTTGCGTGACCAGAAACGCGGTGCCCACCTTGCAACAAGTGCACTGGTGAGTTACGACCAGCGGGTTAAGGAGACTCCAAAGTGACTTTTCAAGGGCCTTTGGAAAAATCGTATCAGCAAATTGATTCGCGTTGATCTGCCTCGAAAGAGTTAGAAACTAAGTTAACGGAATAACTTGTTGGGCCGCTAAAACCGGCGTAATTGCATTCTCCTCTGCCCTGTGTAACCGGATTACAACAGTTCGGCAACTAAACCCCGAGAGTTGCTATTACATTAATCTTAAATTGCACAATGACGTTTAGCACGAAGGCATCGAACACCATGATAGAGGACTCGCGGCTGACCGTGGACACCATGGAGCGAACGACACAGCAATACGTCCACGAAAAGAGGCAGCCGAATCATGTACTGAAGCCTGTACCTTCCCAGCAATATCAGCAGGAGTGCTATCAACACGAGCCGCAGCATCAGTCGCATTATCAGACACATCACCATCCGGGACAGCCCCATGGGCCGCAATACAGGCTCCAGGTCAGATGAGTTGAAAGAAGCTGAAAATTCATTCTTGATTGATACCCAATTGCGATAATGTAATATGAAGCAACGCGCATACATTACCCACCTTTTCGAGTGGACGTGCGAGGCGGAAAAGGCATTCCTTGTGGAAAATTAGCATCCGTTTCTCGTGCACGTTTAGTATAGTTTGCACGTGCGAAAAAGTGCAAATGCACCTCTGCCCGTAGTTCACTTTTGCCGAACCTAGTCGCTGGACGGGACGTCAAAGTTGCTGATAATTGGCCTCATCCTGAAAACAAGGTTGGATTCATGCTCGAAGTGGAATGACATAAGAATGCATTCGAAACTTAATCGAGATCTCTGGTTTGATATCCGAAACGATCAGTTTTGCCGTTTATTCGTAAAACCTTTACGTCATATTTCCTACGCCGTTCTGCTTTACTCGTGTGAATTCACCCGACGAAAAATGCAAGAAAGAATGCACCTGACCAGCATGTACCTTGACGGCATATCGAGGAAAAAATGTTGCACAGCCTTTTGGACCTTGAGGAAGAACGTAGATGTTCCGTTCCTGTGAATCCGTGCTGATACTTTAGAGGAACCCTAGTTGAAGGCAGTGCTTTTCCCTGTAAAAATATCAGCCCCTACGTACGGAGATATGGATATTACCGGTGTAATTACTACGTAGCCCTTTGGGAAATGCATGTTAATAGTCCTAAGTACAACCTACACTTAATGGATACATTTTTTCTTCGAATGATAAGGCGTCGACGGTCACATGAGTGTTAGAGGTAAATCCGTTTCTTTTCGCGCCTCGAAAGGACACCGTCTCTTTTTGGTTACAGCCACGTCTGCAACGGAATTCAAGACTCAAAGACTGACCGAATTAATGATACTTTAAGCACTCGACCCTTCGACCCGCACGCACAGGGTAACTCCGTAAGGCATTTTGCAACGTCAATTTCAAGACTCGCAAACACTGAAAGGTCTGCACGATTGGTTTTTAGCTCCGAAAGGAATGTTTCATAGAAGGATAGTGGTAGAAACGACTTAATGCCTCTATCGGCGTTATTGAAACGAGCAAGCTGAGTGACGTTAACTGACGGTGTCGAACGTACCAAAGATATTGCACATATTCATAGCTGATACGAAATACAAGCATCAGTACAGGGTGCGGCAAATGTTCTTTGGAAAATAGAAACTTAGGATCTTGATTTGTAATTAATAACTAAACCAATCTCCTTTAGCTTCGTTATTAAAATTCAAAGGTACCGGACAAAAAGGGGTGACCATCTTGTTGGAATTTCCTGACAAAGGAAATTCTTTCTTGTTTCTCTTTCGTGGCCACTTATGGAATTTTATAAAATGCAGCGGTTTAACGAACTCCACTTGACATTTCTCCACGAATACAACGGCTCCTTGTTCCTCCTTTACGATTACAAAATCATTAAATTCTTGCCGCACTCTGTACATCACGAGGTCGCCGTCATTTAATTTGACGCTTCGAATCAAAAGGGCGATGACTTTTCACGCGCCCCTGAAAAGCCCAATATATTTATTTGGTCGGACTGACGTTAAGACTGCTTTTCATTAATTGAAGATAAGTTTCACCGCGTGTTCCACTACACATTCCTATATACTTTTCGAATATTTACACGGGTATTAGTTGTATTCCTTTACGAGGGATCTTCATCCTCGGCCGGACATCGATGTGCGCACTTGAATAGCAAAATTACGGTATAAGTGTTGTAAGATAATTTACATGCGAGACTACCAAAGAGAAGAATTTGTTACGGATTTACATCAGGTCCTAAGTGTGCAACCTGAACTTTCGATTCGCTTCCGATTGTTGTCGAATTTGAATAACTTTATTCTAAACCAATATATATATATAAATATATAAATATATATATATACGTTGGCTCAATGTGTCGGAGAGGCCAAATAAGTTCTACGGATTTTTTAATCCTTGAAATTATATTACGTGGTGTTGTCGAATTAAAAGAGAAAAGTGCTGAAAACCTGAATCCCGATTGTTACACCTGACTTTGTGCTTGACTCATTATACCCTGCCCTGATTCCCCCTAGAAAGTAGTCGGTTTGCTCAGGTGGAGGGACTATTATTGCACGAGTCGTTGAAAAACTTCGATCCCAAAACTTGCTAACCGAAGCTAATCGAAACGGAGCCTCGCCAAATTGTAAGATGAAAACGAATGCCAATAGATATTATCCACCTCCCGGAATGATGCTGTAGCTATGGCGCTATCTCCCCCACCTTAGGCGACTTTTGTCATTGAACAAAGACTCGTTGTATAGTCCCGAAGAACGGTAAGAGTACCGGCGTAACTTCAGGCGGAGGCCCTCGACTTGCAAGGTATTTTTAAAAATACATTTTGGAATAAAATCATGGAAATAGAATCCTATTCTTCGAATACATATTAATATCCATTGCCGACGGTACTAATTAATTCATGTACAACGGGTCTCCTTCTTTTGGTGCGGAGAACGGAATCAATATACAGTAGCCATCCGTAAACGAGATAACTGGGGATAATTGTTTCCCTAAATTCCTTGTCCCTAGTGCTGTGTATAATTCTGACGAGAGTTCGTTCAACGAAAGGCTACTGTACTTAGATTTCATTTGCATTTCCACAGAAACGTATGCCAACTCTCCCACAACCATTTGCATCTTCATAAACATAGTTGCGTATTGTACATAGCACATTTTCGAAATTTTGCACCACACCTTTGTTTTTAATTTCTTATTTATTATTTAAAGGGTTTGGCTACGTAGAAAGTCCTCTACGACAAATTCGGATTAAATGTAAATTAGTAATACTAACAACTCGCATCGCGAACGAGTTTGGCATAAAGACTGCTGACTTTTCTCCATAATAATTTTCAAATACACGTTTCAATCAGACGTTTTTTATACGTTCTTGGGATTTTTTACGCGACGGCGATAAGGCTAGCAGAGTTTATGCCACCTCTCAAGTGTCCCAATAAAATTCTAAGAATCCAGGGACAACTGTGCAGGGGGAGCCGCTGTTTCTGAAACCTGACCGTTTAGCGACGTTGAAGCCCTATTGCAAGATCGACAAGCCACCGCAATACACGACGTTCAAGCCGAATTCGCGCAACTGAAGACTTTAATATTTTATATTGATTCATATAGGAAAATAAAATGGCATTCAATCAAATCCACACACGGTGCAGGTCTTCGTCATAATATCCCGACTGAGCTCACCACGGCACATTTGTCAGTAAATATGATTTTCCGCACCTTTATTAATGTTTTCATCCGATTACAATTAAATTGAAATCAAACAGACAGAAAGCAAAAATACAGCGACAGTGCAATGTCCCTGACCGGAAGTCGATACCACAAATACGCACATTTGAAAGAGAAGAAGACGGGTCATCATGGTTCATAAACTTCATTGACATCCGATAAAAGGTGTACGGTCTCATCTATGGAGAGTTCCATGCAACAGAAATACGTTTCTTCTATTTTTTCTTGATTTGCATTTTCCCGCCAGTACGGAGTTTTGCATTCTTTTGGTTTACCCTCGAAATGAGTGCTCCAGGATCGTTTTCTGAACTTTCAGACTATTTCTCAAGGTATACGCAAATGATAATGATTTCAATGCCCTCCTGTTAGCAACTTATTGCAGAATGAGTATAAAAAATGACGATGCACGTAACGGTATTGCAAGCAGTTTGAAGTACTTTCTTCGTATAACTTTTTATAGATTACATACAAGGCCAACAGCACCAGGATTGTCTGGCAACATGTTGTCTGGCGCACCTACGCTGGGGTGAACATGAATGCGGCATATATGGATGTGGGGGACAATAAGGGTTGTACTCTCTGTAGCAACATTGGTTTCTAGAGGAGTAACAATTTGATTTTCTCGAGCAAGAAGGTGCTGGCGGTCGGCAATACGGAGATCCCATCAGATTTGCCTTCTCATTAGCGTACTTATTGCTAAACGATCTGAAGAAAGAAGGTTTTAACGCGGTACAAGAACAGAGGCCATCGAGCCTTGCACAACTGCAGCACACTCGACAGGGTTTCCCGCACTTTGTGCATCGACTCTTGCACTTATTGCCACGAGTATCAGCGCAATATTGCGGATGACTGGAGTTATTGCGGCAGACCTTGCAAACTGGAACGAAACTCTGCCGTTCATCTTCACACGATGTTTTCGAGCGACGTTTACGGGACTTTTTGTAATGGCTACGTTCCCCAAATCCACCTCCAAGTCTTTCCTCGCGTCTTGCTTTTGTGGCCGAAGAAGCCCGGGATACAGGTAAGATCCTCTTCGGCAAGGTGCTACGTGACGTCGTGGTAGATTCTATGCTTCGCAAATTTGTGCGAACCTGCATTACTTTATCCAATGGATCCGACTGAGCATATCCTGGTAAGATTTTACTGGAGGGCTCCGATGCAGCGCGATTTGGTGGTGATACCTCCAAACGATTCAATGTTACTGGCTGACAGCATTTACATGTTACCTGAGACGACACACTCGCGCATTTGGTAATGACGGTAGCTAACTCGTTGCGAGCAGCTTTTATTTCATCAATCATCACTAGATATAGTTGCATCATATCCATGTTAGAGCCTTGGTTCAGCAAAAGTGGCATCGACTGCAGCTGATCCTTTTTATCAGTTCGAAAGTTCCAGCGATGTTTTTGCATACTATCTGCTATGCTGTAGTTACTTCGACTCCTCGCTGCTAACAATGAATTCGTTTCAACCGTCATTGAAAAGTCAGATGAAATATATTTTGCCATTCACAATGTTTCTCACATTTTTACATTTATAGATCACTCACACTCAAAGGAGTCCGTGGACGTTAGTTCGTCAAAAAACGTTCTGGACGATCTTTTAAGCCTGTGTTTTTTCCTCCTGATTTTTGTCATTGTACTTTGCTTCCCAATGGATGCCAATTTCTCTTGCAAACACTGTGTTCGCCTTTGTACATCTTCGAGGACCTCGATGACCGTCATCGTGGAAGAGTTGTCAAAGTCGTAAGCTGGTGGTGGAGACGGGGGTGTATCAAGATAGATGTTTCGATTGACAGGACTATCGTTACAGTAAACGAGGTCACAGCATAGGCCACAACCAGGGCAGAAAGGTCCACATGGCGGTGGATAATTGAGTGGCAGGTAATACATATTTTTGGCACCTTTCTTTCTTAATATCAGGGCTTACATACCACTGGATTCTGCAAAGTATATCTTGTAAGTTCCAAGTTAAAATAAACCTAGTCTATTGTTTGATCGCATTGTTTTTATGAATTTTTTTTAGTTATTAGGTGCCACTAACGTCATTGCCTGACCTTGAGATGGACCTTATAATACTAATGGGAAAACGGAAATGTTTAAAAATAAATCCTAGAGGGTATCTTGTATATTTTTTAATATCCGAGGAAACATTTAAAGATCAGTAATGATTATAAGAACGGTCATAAATAATAATTAAAATAATATTAAAAATAATTAATGTATCCATGCTTTCTAGACATAATTGAGGTTTTTAATTCATGAGGTATACGCACCTCGATGTAATAAGATATAAAAGGAATACAGAGGGAATCAGAAATCTGATGCTTCATCCTTAAAATTCATAGGTGTTATTCAGTATATTTTGTTCCTAAAGTTGGTAATTATGAAATCCTTGTTTAAGGAATCCATTCGTTGAATCAGGTAAAATCTTCTTGGTTAGTAATTATTTTTTGTCCTTATTCGGCCTTTTACATTGAATTGCCCCCAATTACATGGGGTAGTCATGAGGTAGGAAATCGAAGAACAATTCACCTTTTGATAATCAAAGTGTTAGGAAGTAATTAAATGCTGATACCGGACACAGAAAATTTACATTTGGTGATTTTGACAATTCGGACGTTTGTCGTCTTTCAATCAAAAAAAGGCCGCATCAACTGAAGTAAGCTAAAACTCGATTACAGTTGATTACAGGGTTGGGTAAGTATAATATTATGTAACGTACGTGGTTTTCAATGTGTATAATACAACGTGTAATACATCCCTACTTTTCTACGCGAGCGCAAAGTACATATATACAGTGCACCCTTCTCTTTTTAAATAAAAGTAACAAATCCAATTAGAAATTTGATATTAAACAGAGTTAAGTTGAAAGAATTTAAACACAAACGCCAAATGAATTATTTCTTAATAATTTTTACGTGTTTATATGTGCGCTAAAAGTGAAGGGTAATGTCAAAGAGGGCGCCACGAGTGTTCTTCCCTTACCATTAAAAGCGAGCAGTGTCGGTAAGCGTAGGTAAGCCACCACCGTCAACTGCCGCGTACGTGAGCCGTCAACGACGACTGGTAGATGGCATCGCCATCGTGAGTGCGCGAGCCCCTACCAGAAATTCGTTGCGCCGCCCTTGTGGGCAAAAACGGTGAAAGCTAACGTACGAAACCAGAGGGCAGCACAGGATGTGATCGCACGACTCTGCCCATGAGCAATCTCCCAACTCATCTCTGCATGCAGCTATATGGCAATGTGGATCCCTTCCTCAGCTGCATAATACTGCAGCGCCATCGTACGACTGGAATGGCTTATTAACTATTAAGCTTTGTTTTTCGGGTCGCCAAGTTCATAAAGACCGTTCTTCTAGATTCGAATGAATTCGTTGTTACAAATTCTACGATCCTGCGTCATGTAATATGCTAACTCCATGTCAGGATGTTAGAATGTATTTGTTTGGATGGAAATCACGTATGTGTGACACTACTGGTACAACGATATGCCAGATTCTACATTTGTGTGTGTCAGAGATTATCAATTTGAGTAGTTTTTATGGTATGGTCGTTTGATTTAACATATCTTACTGACGAGGTCGAAAATGCGGGGTGCTAATAGAAGGAGGCGGTAAATGGTTCCTCGTAGAATGGCAAAAACTAAAACAATCAGCAAAGGCTGTCCAAAATGCGAACAGCAGGTAATTTATATATGTTATGAATTAGATTCTTTTCATGAATAAGCATATGCTATGAAAATGGCACTATTCTAAGTCTATCCATGGCCCTGTGTAACCTATACTCATTCTGTTTTGAGTATAACATTTATTAAATTTTTTTCCTTCATTAGCTGCAGTGAAATATGAACTTTAAACTTAAAGTAACCGTAACTTCAACTAATTCCTGAGAAATCATATCTTTTATCTTTAGAGTAGGGTTAGGATGTCGATGAATTATTAGCCTTTGTTAAATATCCAAAATTCAAAATAATTAAGATATTAGATGTTATACCTAATAAAAATAACGTACAAATTCTGTCGCTAAGTCTTATTTATTTACTTTTAGAAAGCAGATTAATGTAATAACCACCAATAAGTATATGCGACTTAAATTACACATTGGTCTGCTTGTATCTGCTTTTTGGTTCGTGTAAAACTGATTATATTATTTGGTACAATATATTGATTAATTGGTCAATAAGAAAGGTACATTATATATTGAAACTCTAATGAAAATATTTGATATCAGATTTTATCTAAAGATGCCTGATATTATATTGTATCAGGCAATCATTAAGTGAATGTAAAGATTTGCTGCTATCTCAGTAAATGACTATTAATTAATTAACACAATAGTAATAGTAAAAAAGAAGTACAATGTTGAAAAAATCAATCTTTCAAAAATAAAAAAATGCATTTGTTGTTACCAGGTCCCTGTTGCTTGTAAAGCATGCCCATGTGGGCATTCCTTCTTTAATGCTCGTCGAAATTCCATCAAAAGCTCTCCTAGTCCGGATGGTGGGGCAATGAAGACAAGAAGGACGAATCGTGTAAAACGGGAGAAACCAAATTATTATGATTCCCTAGAATATGACAAACAAAGTAAAAAAAAGGTATACATATTAATTTAATAACATAACTTCATTTTTGTAATTTTTGTACTCACTAATTTTGAATATATGTACTTACAAAATTGACATTTAATATGCACATTATTGTAATGACCGCAATATTCTATAATAGGAATACCAATACAAATTTCTATTGTTGATTAAATAATAAGCCTTCATTATGCTTTGTTTGTTAATAATATATTTATTTGTATCGTAGATCAGAAGAGCCACTGACACTGGAACAGATTTTGATTGTCGACAATTGAATAAAAAGAAAAAACGAAAGGGGAAAGGAAAAGGTAAAGGTGGCGGCAGTAGCGGAGCAGGAGATGATGATGATGAAATGGAAGGTATATGCGGCTTGTCACCTGAAAAGCAACTGACTTGTTCTCTTATATTGCAAGAGTTAAACAATAAAATGGGAATTGTTGCTTGGAAGCCTACATGAAAACTGTAAGTAGCTGATTACCGTTAGGTGTCAATTATCACATTAAATATGTATAAAAACCTTTGAAATTGAAGTTTTAATAATTACACAGGTAAAATATGTAACCTTTAGATCAAATACTAATGTTTTATTTTGTATGGTTAATTCTTTTAAAAAATAATTCGTTTTTTTTCAGGACATATTTGTGTATACCTGAATGAGTCAATCTAATTTAAAGTATACTGTATTAGATGTGTATAAAGAAAGTGTTATTTCATGGAGTAATGTACATATGAAAGATATGCAATGTTTTTATGCTTTCAAGCTGATTTTATCACTTGATTACAATTGTAATTAATTAGAGGAAATGCTTTGTAATATTTAATATTAAGATAATCTATAAGATAGTTTCTGCTACACACTTAATCAATAATTTTAGTTAGTAACTCTGAAAAGAATTGTAGGAAATATGAACTAAGTTGAGAAAAATAATGTGATGAGTACTTTATGTAATTATATAAGGTTTTTTATTAAAAACCAGTATATTATGAGAAACATTTTTCTATTTGTAAGTATTATAGTATTATGTGAAAATATACAATAATTGAACCGTCCTATTTTTCATTACAACTTTAAGAAATATTATTATGATTTATAACGAAATAAGTGCAAAAAATACTTAACGCTTATAAAGATAATTCAATAATGATTTTATCAGCACCGCTAAATGTACTGCAATAAGTATGGGTTATTCTAGGTTTTTAAAAAGTTTCTTAAATAAAAGTTTAACTGCTTTATATTTTCAGAAATAAAAAGCCGAACTCAGGTTTTGCCAGGGATACTTTGTTTCTTTCGAAATCTCATCTATCACTCAAACCGTAAATGAGTACGGTCTATATTTGACTATTAAAATAATTAGATTTACTTAGCTTATTATTAAGCTATATCAGCTACTTTTACATTTTTTTTCACATATTTATGATTTTACGGATACATTGACACTGTAGTTGCAAGCCATGTATTTTTCTCGTTCATTTTTAGGATAACAATTAACCTTTCTCTGCAATTTCTATACTATAAAAAAAAACAGCATTGATTTGTACGTGACAAGTGAACACAAAGAAACACTAATCATTGAAATTAAAGAGTGCGACGAAATTAATTTCTCCGAGTCTGTAAATCCCATAGGACATTAATGTATACAAGTTTCAAAGATGATATGTTATCCGTACGTTTATTTTTACATTGAACATGGTTCAGTAGTGGGTGGCAGCAACGTGCACATATCTTAACTTTCTATAATACATTGAATGAAAAGTTCATATAAAATAATCTATAAAATACTGTAATCTATTTGCACCAAGTATATTAGAGCTCCTTCGAAATATTACAGACCTCATGTGCATCCTTAGCACACCGTCCACGTAAACTTTTGCCTAGACATTCGCTTGGTATATCGTAATTGTGTTTATGTGTGCGGTTGATCGCGCGGTTACATTTTCGGTCTATTGTAATTAAACTTATTTTATAATGTGATGTTGCCCACGATACTGCATCGAAGACGGGCAGTCTGTACGTTGCTTTCAGGCTCTTGTAACCATAATATTTCCAAAATTCTGGTAGCATAATTGCGATCCATTACATTGACTAAAGGTGCAGTACAGTTACAAAAGTAATCTATTTAGTTCGATATTACGGCGTTTGTGCTACTGGGGGAATACTTTCTATAATTGCAGTCAAGATCTTTGATCGATCTTATATCGTAGTATCGTAATCATAAGGCAAGGTAGTTTTTATAGAGATGTCCGCTTTTGACTATTTCTTTTTCTTTACAAGTGTTAGACACGTCTGACACAATTTCGATAACAAGACCGTCGAAGGAAAGTAAAATTTGTGCTTGAAAACCCTTTTTGTACTAACTTAATTGATATCTCGGCCTAACGAACCGATTGACGAATTAAGACAATTTGTATCACCGCTCTTGTAATACAATTATAAAAACTATACTTTAGAATGTCTTATAATTTTGTTAGATGCTTCAAAATTGTGCCTTCAACCCTAAAGCATATATTAACGCGTACGTACGCGTAGTCAAGGCGTTCGATAAGACCTCATTAGTTGTAAAACCATTTGCACGGATTAGTCGGCGAACTGTACAAGCGATTTGAAATTTTAGCTGTGCAAATCGCTACGTCTTGTGTCACCTAATGCGGCAATTGTAACAGTTATACGTGGTCCGTCAGAAAAACGTCGAATGTGTGTCGTACACAAGGTCATTTATGGCAATGCCCAGCACACTTGTGGCATTACGGTAATAATATCGCTGCTTACTAATGACATTGTATAATATAGCTACAGTCATCTTCAATTCGCCCTAACATAGTCTTTACATATTAAATTCTCATACAGATGACCTCGCGTCCAGTATCGCGTTTTAATTGATAACATTAAAAGATCAAATGTTGCCGACAAGAAACATAATAGCAGTACTATACACTTGTTCGCGTTGTCATCGCAATGTAAGGAACGAAGTGGACCGTTCTCACGTGGACATCGCAGTCCACGTGAGAACGGTCTCGCTAGTCATCTTGTCCGCAAACGTCGTCGGGCATTCCATCACTAGGAGGTGTAACAAGGCTTTCCTGGCGATCGCAACGAGGCCTCTGGATCTCGAGGAAGAGACAGTTCGTCTGCTATAACTTGTCGATCTGAGCGGTATTATTCATCGCGGCTTGCCGCTTTCTGATAAAGGGCATGAATCCCCACAGAGAGCCCCCAGCGACGAGGATTATTCCTAAAGTACTGAAGATAGGTCCGTAACTTCCAATCTGCTCGTAAACCAGGCCGCAAATAGGTGGACCTATGAGCTGAATAATACCGTTCACAAAAAGAGAGATACCGTAGGACGACGTCAGCTTCTCGGTGCCGAGCATATCCGCCATGATGACCGCCGTGATGCCTACGTAAATGCCCGAAGCCAGTCCAAATATTCCACAGTAAACGGACAGCATGGTGTACGTGGTTGCTAAAGGCAGCAAGGCCAAAGACACGCCCGATACCAGCAAGCCGCCAACGAAGTACCAGTGTTTCGGCATGATCTTGACGTCCGACAGGGCCGAGCCGCCTATCCTCCCTATGAGGTCCAGCACCGACACCGTCGACAGCAACAGCGAAGCCATGCTCTTGTCGAATTTCAGAGATATCGCGTAAGTCGGTAGTAGTATCACAAAGTTGGTGTAACTGACGGCGTTAGTAGAATTCGAGATCAGAATGACGAGGTATACCGGGTCCCTGAGAAGGCTCACGTCGAAGAATTTGTTACTAGGTCCTTCCTCCTCCTTGGCTGACTTTTCCGGAGTCTTCCTGAAAGTGTTCGATATCGCGTTCAGGGTCAACGTCGACGCGTGTTCTGGGTGCAGGGCCGAAAGGGTACTCCCGTGATACGGGGTACTGATGTAATTGAAGGACGACGAGCTCGGCGATCTCAAAGGGGTCTTTCGCCGAACTCTGCCACTTTCCATCCCACACCGTTCGGGAACCGCGTGCAAGGCTGGCGTACTGTGCATCTGTCCAGCGATATCTCTTCCGCTTGGCATACTGATTTTCCTCGTTCTAGTCTGAACCGGCGTGTTCCTGTAATTCTCTAGCGCGACGCTGGATGCGCTCTTTGGCACCGTAGGGGCAGTCTTCACCTGAGAGTTGGAGACGATCAGGAGATTGAGTTTCTTCTCTTCCTCGGGACTTGTCAGGATTATCGAAGCGGTCTCCACGCCGTCTCGGTCTTCCGGGTCCTCCGAAGACGGGACGAATTTCATGTGTTTCTCAACTGGGTCGTACAAAAGCGCGCTCGCCCAAACGTTCAGCGTTACTGCTCCCATTATTAATACTGCACCCCTAAAAAGATAAAGAATAACGTCATAGGATTTGTCTTCTAACCCCTGTAAGTGGTGTGACGAGTGTGAACACTATAAAACTAAATTACTTGATACGCACGTAGATGGAGAGTAATCGGATCGTATGCTTTATTAATTGTTACCTGTAACCGTATTCTTGTAGAAGATATCCAAGAACCGGTGGCAGGAATATCGACCCTAGCGCACTGCCAGAAATGCATAGGCCATTGGCGAGTCCACGCAATCTCACGAAGTAAGAAGTCACGATGTAAACCGTAGGAGGAAATGCCAGTCCAGCACCGATTCCAACAAGTACGCCATAGCTGTAAGTCATTAAAATCAGTCGCGATTACTTCTCATTAGGTCCCGATACTTTTCATTCGTGCAAAACTCGACAGTGAACGCTACAATATATTACGCCGGGGAAGTTGTTCCGTTTGTTATCTAACGTAAGGAAACGAAACACCCTAACCGACCCAACGGTGATATTAAATATTGGATTAATCGTTATCGTTCTTCGGCGACCAAAAGACAAAAGCGACGTTTATCGTTATATTTAAGGTGATATTAAAAGGGTCATTCAATATATGAAAACGTCAAAATATTCATACAACTTTTCTCCAAATTGGGTGCACCCAATCACTCGAAATTTTCTCGCACGTAGAAGGAGCGCGATGCTCGTGAAATTTTATTTTTCACGAAAAAAAAGAGAAATTTTGGTTCTGGTCTGGGCGGAATAAAAAAATAAAATATTTTTTGTTGCAAAATGAAATGTTACGAGAATCGCGTCCTTCCTTATGGCCTTCATAATCACGTGCTGAAGTTTCAAATGATTCGGTGCACCCAGTTTCGAGTAAGGTTTTATCAATATTTTGACGTTTTACATATGTGGAATGATCCTTTCATATCACCTTAACCCTTTCGCGCCCACCGCATAGATATCCGGCATCCACTAAACGCGTCATTTTTTAAAATTTATCATATGCAAATATATTACCAAATTATATCTAGCAATTTTACGCGAGACCCTCTTAACGTGTACGGTGTACACTGATGGTTAGTTCCGTGGTCGCGAAAGGGTTAACTTTCTCAGCTTTAACGAAACAAAGATTTAGCGGAGATGTAAAAGTTAATGTTTATTACCTCACGCATAGGAAACCCACGGAGCTAGCGAAATAACTAAGCATCATTCCTACCGCTGCAAACGTTCCACCGATTAAGGTTACCGTCCTATAGGAATACTTGACGGAGAGAACACTGGAAAGAGGACCTGTGGAGGTAACACAAGAATAAGTCATGATTCTACAATGTACCGAGTTGCGAATATATATTTATTGATATTGGAAAGAGTCGTTACCGAGTGAGCTGTAAAGGAAGTAACAGAGGGCGGGTATCCAGGCAGCGGCTGCTGGAGAAGCGTCGAAAACCTCAAGGAACTCCACGAAGAGGACGCCAAATGATTTGACGGTTCCTGGGATGAGAAGATTGACCATGACAGATGCCAAGAGGACGAGCCATCCCCAGCCTCCGTCTGGTGGCACGAGTTCTCCCTCTCCCACTTCATTTTTAACTGGAGAAAAAGGAGAACGTTAAAGATTATTCGTATCAGTTAAATTAACATTACATTTCGGAAATATTACATGTATAATGGTATAATAATATGAATTAAACTATACATAATAATATGAATGCTAAGTGGTGCATATATCACAAAAGGCGTAACATATATTTAATTCCCTGTTTATAGGTAATACTTGTATCGAGGGTAAATTCAGAATTAACTCGAAGATATTTGTTACCGTGTTTCTCACGAGCCGCCGTGTCCAAAGCAATGTATAATACTTAATGTTTTTTTAAAAAATCAGTGGATGACTCCGGATCTAGGTTAGTATCATCTCCATAAACATTGTCTGTTGACAGGAAGGGTTGGCAGGGTTTTTCTGTGTGCTGGGGAAATATTCCTATATCAAAGTCTATCGTCGGTTTAATGTTTCGTTTACGCCGAGTCTTTGGGGTGTACATTGTTTAGTAATCTAGTAAAAAAAAAAAAAAGAGCAGGATAATGAAACATTTCTTGTGACTATTTTTATAGCAGCATGGGATCTTTACTGTTCTCTTTGACTATTAATGTTTTGCATCCTCCTTCAGCGACGGAGCCAATTACGCTCTGCTCTATATGCAGTGGTCTTCCTAACGAAATCATTTCCATATTGAAAATCAATAGGTCGTATTGCTCCATAATTTGCCAAAATGTGATATAGAGGACGCACGTATATTGTACTGTTCTGAATTCGCCCGGAGTCTTAATATTCTCGATAAAGTTTCATTGAAACATAATAATATATTTTTAGGCGATATGGAGCGTCTGAGGGATATTTATATGAATTCGTGTCAAGGATATTCGAGGGGTATTTTTCAAACGGTCGCGTTTTTTGCTGCTGGAGCAGTCGTCAGTCGTCACTCGATAAAGGAACGTTAGATGAAGCAATACCTTTTTCCCATTAGTACTGTTTTAATAAGCTTCGACTGTTTTTTTGTATTGTAGGTACCGCAGAAGAAGTCGTTACGCTTAAAATATGGATGGGGAAAAATAAATGTGCACAAATATGGAATCTTAACATGGTTTCACTCATTTTTTATAAGCGCGGTTATAAACAAGCGTCTTAAACGGCGCGTTTTCATTATTACTTAATTAAATCCAATAAATTTTACATCACTTATCGTTAATCCTGAGAATATATCGTACCATAAACTTGAGCGAAACAGTGGTGATATAAACGCTCTGCCTAGGATCGTAGTTTCAAGTACCTTATTATATATTTCAATATCGTAAAATATATCAAAGGGGCAGCTTGAAAAATAGTGACCTGCCGTCGATAATCCAGGACATTCTTGCTTTGTTCACCTCAAGGTGAACATGATCCCCCTCAAAACTCTTTAACTGTCCTATTTAAGGGCTGCTAAATTAATTATCGTCCTCCTGGCTCGACCAAACGTGAGCTTCGCATCCAGAAATAGATTTCTTTGTACCGAAAGAAGCCGACACCTGGTAATAAATCTCGAAGATCCTCACAATTAGGATCAAGTTAAAGGAAGGACGAGCCTCCTAATTGTGGCTGTGTTTCGAGCTTTCGACACTTTCAAAGGCCTTTTTTGCTTTACCATTATTGTACCATTACTCGCTAGATGCGAGCTCTAGAGGGTTAATAGCTCGCCTGTAACGCACTTGAGGAAAAAAATCCAGAAATCCCGATTTGAACCGGTTCCGAACACGCAAAATCGCCCACGGGACTCTTCGCCGAGCATGGCGGCAGAACGGGAACTGCTGATGATAAGAGCGAAACGTGTGGGTACCTTTCTGCCATATATCGTATCGCCAATCATTCTCAGGCCGTGAATAAAGTCTGGCATGCTAATGGCACTTCATAATGGCGGACCGATGGCCATTACGCTTCTTTATTCAGCTCTCAGATACATGACTCATGTTTGCGTTTTCTATATCACCTCCAGGTTCTTCCTCGATTGCCTGGGGAACTTCTCCAGCGGTATCGGTCGTTGTCTCTTCTTTTAAAACTGGAACATCCCCTATCTGATCAGGAGATTTCGTCAAAGTAGGTCCACTGGGGTCAGCACTTTCTTCCTTCTTGACATATTCGACCTGCCCCACCGTTTGTCCCCAATCAATTGGTTCACCGTTTTCGTTTTCTGCAGCTGAAGCGTTCTCTGTTCGATCACGAGCTTCAAGTGACACGGGTTGGACATGTTCATCAAGTCGCTCCTTTTCCATGTATTCGGTTCTTTCCAGCGTTGATCTCCTTTTTGGCAGACTTTTTGGCTCCTCTTCTCTTGTGCATAAAACTAAAAGGGATGTGGTGCCGACTATTACTCCGAGGATGGAGTAAATCATGTTACAAGCGATATCCCAAAAGTAGGGAAGTAGTGTATAGTAAGATATCAGTATCCCGAGGACTCCGAGAAGGAACCAAATGATCTTAGTTGATTTTTCTGTATGGGCGGAGTCGAAGACGAATCTTTTCAATTTTTTTAGACCAGAGGTGTTCTTCACGCAACAAACCTCCTTGGGTGTATCATGGTCTGTGCCGGTCATTTGAAATTGTTTCTGGACGGGTGAACATGGCCTTTGTTGTGGTATGAAGGACCTCTCATCGATGAACGAATTTTGATCACGTTGTTCCAGGATTCTGATGATCGGTTCTTCGTGGCGTCGCGCGTTATGACATGGTGCACATTTCCGCGTCATTTTCTTGATACGAAGACTGGATTATGCTTTCGAGATTGTCATCGTGGAATATCTCACCGAAAGAGCTGGAAAAGAGAAATGATATTCGCGAACGTAAGAGGATGCTCGCGTAAGAACTATTTTCGCAAGTTCCATATATTCTTGTTACGCAATGGTCAAACGAGTTCGAGGCGGAGGATGATGGAAACGAAGTAACTTTGTCTTTTTACAGGAAGATCAACCCGGGAATTGTACTTTACCGTCTGTTTTAGTACCGACCTTGTAGTAAACAACTTCAGACGGGTCTTATCGTCTGTCTGCACTTCCCATAATTACCATGGGCCAATCTTTCGCGTCCTTGGAACTCGGATTCTTCGGAATTATAATACTCGTCCGCTTCAAAGAAAGGTGAAAAGAGTTTTTATCGATCTTTCATCGTTACTCGAGCCGACATCCACGGATTGACATCCGCAAATGACCTTCATAGTTATTACTTAGAAAACTAATGAAAATAATAAAAATTGTTCCAATTAAAAAACTGCGTGAATCCATGTAGATAGACGATCGCGAATAAAAGTGCGCTATCTTCTAATGTCTTTAAAGTACACGTAAAAAATTCAAAGATGAGAAATACTCCCAAACGGCTTACTTGCAAATTGCTGATTAGGTTTGGTCTCGGAACATTTGCAAACCTGTTCAAATTCTGCCGGAATGGGTTTACTATTGTGTCTCGAATTATCTGAGAATTCCGTGACACAATCAGCTGGATCTACCGAACTTCTCAAGCCACGCTCAGAATCTAATAATGGATCCACATTTCCCAGATCTTGGCTTTCTGGAAGAAAAATATATTCGTTTCCCCACGCTCACTTTCAGGAAAATCTCCCATATACTAATTAAATTCGAAACCTAGATTTTGAAAGTCGAGAAAATAAAAGTCGAGATTTTTCGATTTTAAAACACTACCCACTTAATGTTATTGCCCTTGAAATATTAATTCATTGTTTTTTTTTGTCTGAATAATTGTTTTAATGGTAGGTGGGCAAAAATTTCGTTGAATTTTTGTAACAGCAGAATGAGCAGTACCTGATGCACACTTATAAGGACATTTTTCCTGATGTTCGTGTGATCGAAATTGTTCGTTTCTCGAGGTATAATTTGATTTATATTGGCCGTGATTCGATTGTGCCGACTTCCGTTCTTGAATGCTCAGGCAACGATCAGATTTGCTTGCTTTTGGTATCGCTTCCGGTCTTTTGCAATGCCTAGAGGCTCGAAGTGCTTCACATTTATTCGGAATTGGTCTACGACTGGCTTCGACGTTTCTATTGCAGTAATAAACGCTGCGCAGCCCTACGTGCAGATAGATTGCAAATCCTAGCGATAATACAAGGAGTATCCAAAGAATGGGCTTAATCATGCCAAAGATTGGATCGAATCGAGGGCAGAGGACTTTTTACGATTATTGAAGAGGAATGATGATGATGATGAGGTCGGATTCTTCTTTTTACGGAGCAGAGATAGTTTTCTCCTGGTAGATTAAAACGGATCGAGTTTTTCCTTGGTCGATGGAAATTTCTTTCAATTTCGTACCCTGTTTTTTCATATAATCATTGATTAAATTGTTTCAGGAGAAAATGAACACCGATGCCCTTCGGTATTTTAGATCTAAAATTATTCTAATTGTACCACTACTGTGTAGATTTGTTCTATGATCGTATTCGGGTGATTTTATAATTAAATAAATGAAAAGTAAAACAACATCTTTGAATAGGTTACAACTCGATTCGTTAAATAAAAATTGTAGTTAAATGTACGAATGCCAATCATTTGATCGCGAATGCAAGGTATGAACTGTAGAAAAATTGGCAAGTGGTTAGTGACAATGAATTACCTGTGAAATCTTTTTACGACCTGCACGATGGGCTTTAGTGATAACAAATTATACAAAAAATGGTTCTACAAGATTACACATTTAAATGATTTCGTCTCCCTGTTATCCCATTGATTTAGGAATCAATACAGGACAATATCGTAAAGGTTTGACGACAGGTCTATTTCGTGGTTGGCAATTGAGATACTCGAATAATAAATAATAAATTTTCCAAATTGTGAAGTCGTAAATCTTCTAGGAGTCCGTGCGTCACCTTAAAACATAACTAAAGCCTAGCTTGTATATAGGATTACTGTTTATTGGAAGGGCTCCAAGATATATATATCTAGCCAATAATGTTTGATTTGCGACAAACCAGCTGAAATACGATTCAGCACAGATATAGGTTGAGTGGGAAACGAAAGGATCTACCATGTTTTGCCAATGCTCTACCTACTATAACAACGTTCCATTTTAGGTAAAACGACGTACAAGTTTTTGCTCTAACTCTGATGCATTCATTTAGTTAAAATTGTACCTCTTGATTGATCATTAGACGGCATTCGTACATACATATGAATAAAATAGAAAATCAAGAAACACATTCACATGTTGTTAATGTTGATGCCGTTCGAGATAATTAAATTCTTGAAAAAAAAAAAGGGGGAAAAAACATACAATTTCATGGTACTATCAAGAATAGGTTTTTAAAAGAGGAATTAAGTTAATAAAATCTTAATTGCCCGCAAATGTCCTGATGTCCGAAAAATGTATTCTTCATCGACGGAACTGCCTCACTGGGAGAAAATTCGATTCTTCGTGTCGTAATTTGAAAATTGATACAGAAACTTTGGATTTAAGTAAAGAGATGAATTTAGATAAATATTTTACGAGAAATATCTGAAATTATGGAATGCGAGTTATGCGAGGTAAAAAAATACTGATAACCTAATTTATCATGTTTGACGGCGTTGGTCACTTCATTTTGCCGAGGACTAATTCCCGAGATACGAGATAATTGACTTCACATTGTTTTCTCGAGCGATATGTAAGCTGTGATCATAGCGATCGCAATCTATCGATAATATGCGCAAAAATTAATAAGAAAAAAAATTCTACGGTTTGGCGCAAGAAGTTGGTACAGATTTTACACATTCTCGATTTATTTGTGTACTCGTAATGATATAAATAATAATTCATTTTGCAGCCGATAAATTGTCACTTCTTTTCCGATCACCCGTTAGGCCATGGCCATGGGCGAATGGTCAAAGAACAGAGCAGCTCTTCAAGCTGCGATGTCGATAGTTCACCCATGAGAAATTTTCTAAGAATATACTAGGTCCAGAATAAGACTCCTTCTCGTCCATATTTAATGCAGACCGTATGAATCAAGAATCTTAAATTGTAATATTAAGATTACAAAGAATCTTTCATATTACTTTCCTCTAACACCGCTAAATTTCCATGGATATTATTTTAAATTCTCATTACTATGCACGTCAGTCTATTTATGGCTACCCGCCCGGTGGTAAATGAACTTTATAACAAGTTAACTAAATTTTTATGTTAAATCGATTTAATCTTGCTCGACTCCGTTATCATGTCACGTAGGGCGTAACAATGTTAAAGGTGAACATCTTCCCACTTTAATATAAGATGGGCGAATTAAGAATGCTGAGTGCGACCGTTAGAGAAAATAAAAATAAAAGAAAAAAAAAAGGTGAAGAAAAACTCTAGAGACGTGTTGATGTCCAAGATATAGAAGACGTACTGCTGACCACGTGGAGAGAATATCGATGTTACTAGTAGGATCACGTCTGAAACTGTTAATAAACGAAGGAGAGGACTTTTCGTAGTTTTTTTCCTCGCCGTTTTCCAGGTTTAAAAGGCTTCGAGGTAACGTAATATTTCGTGATACCGATATTCTCGGTCAAATAAATTTTACGATAAAAACAAACGCGAAAATGTCTATTCAGTGCTCGTGCCAGTAAATGACGTGGCATAGGTAATCATTTTGAAAACCATAGTTCACAAACGGCCACTAAAACCTACGAAACTTGGATACAATTATTCTTACGCGATTGAAAATTAATTAAGCCTACCCAAAAAAGCATAAAATCGAATCGTTACGTTCCGCATTTTCCTAATCTTTAGTGCGAGCGTATCCAAGAGGCGTGATGCAGTCTGCAGATACGCGATTGCCGTTTCGCGCAATTTTGTTTGGAGTATGACAAATTTTATCCTAAAAGCGATACACGCCCACGCATTGCTTGTACACATATGGCGATTGCAACGAGCCGTCTGCTTCGTCTACACTCCGAGCAACACCGTACTCGTGTCTTTTAACAGAGATAGCAGCATCGCCGACCGAGGCCGGTAGCGTTCATTTCTGGCTAACCTAACCTCGCAGGCCACCTTCATACGCACTCGGCGGGTCGTGCGTGAAATACATATAATTAATCAACAAGCATCCTACCGAAGGTTCCCATCTGGGACATTGAAAATCACCTTATGAACGTTATTGACCGACATTCGAGTGCATAATTGAATATCTCCAATGCCTCGCCCTATACTTAACTCGCGACAGAAGTGGTTCGAACGAAGCCAATACAGGTAATTAATTCCTCACATAAGGAGTCCGTACTTCCCTCAAAAGCCTTATCTCCCGTAAATCACAGCCGAGCATCCGAGGATACTACTCATAAGGATTAATTTTAATCACCCAGGAACGTGGAAGGCGAAGTTCATCTACGTTACTCCGGGTACTTTGGACAAAGCTGTAGCCCGCCATTCCGGCGACCGTAGCCTCTAGCAATGGCTTCGTCTATACTCCGGGCATTGAGTGTGAAATACATGTAATTAATCAATAAACATCCCGCAAAGGGTTCTCATCTGGGCGCGGGTGCATTGGAATTCATGGAAGGACCTCATTGACCAGGGTCCAAGTTGATTACCCATCCTCGGGGAACTTGGGCTGCACCTTTGTTCGGCCCGGCGACAGTCGCTTTGAACAATGCTGTAGAGGTGCGTTCCCCGGGAGCGTAACCTCGCACAATGCTTTCGCGGTCAGCTCCTAAGAGCGTTTCAGTATCGCGAAGTAGTGGAAGTAGTGGAACCCGAGATGACTGGGCGCATAGCAGCTTTGGGTATATTCCATTCAGGTCGAGGAAATTTCCACAGCCAAGCCGGGAGAGCACCTCCCTGTCCGTCCAGGACTCCAGCTGCCCTGCGCCATTACTTCTTCCCTTTTCGGCGCCATTACTTCTTCCCTTCTCCACGTCCAACAAAGTCGACGTCAAGAATACACGTATAAATCAGATATTTCGTCGATTGAGCGTACATTCCGTCGCGTACCTTAAACGAACGGATTGTTATTTTACATTTATCATATTCCGCTTCAACGACAATAAGACAAAAGTGCTGATTTTATTAAATTTCTCGTTCTACAAGGATATAAAATCCTACGATCATCCGCAATTGTTATAGCCCGTTACATCAGAGGAAGCCCTGTTTTTATTTGTCGATTAAATTCAAGGTATGGGAAAGTTTATCACATATTTTCATATCTTTTTATATGGCAGTCATTTCGCAAGGTTTATATTGCAGTATAGACTGGTACCAAGTCATGGTTATCGTTATTTACCGCGTTTTCTTCCCGCGTACGTCGCGGTACCGAAATTTCTACATCGTTTAAAGTTCGCATTAAAGATGCTTTCTCCTACATGTTATATAATAGTATGATTATAGGGTAATTCAGATAAATCAATTTTTGTAATATGAGACCACGGAATGAATCTTTGGCCCTTTCGTGCACGAGATTGCACTTTTCACTACACTCGGCTTCCCATAAAATGGTTTTCCTTTATCCCCAGAATACGTTTCCGTAACAGTTACCGAGTAATGAGACTATACCGTGTCTCAACACTCTTTACGAGGAGAGAGTAATGTTTAATTAAGAGCGAGCGACTCCTCTAATGCGTCCGGTAATAAAGTAGCAGGCAGCGCCTCTGGTGATGCGAATCCTAATTACAGAGGGGTCGGACGAACTTTTAATAAAGCCCG